GTGTATTTCCTAAAAATTGTACATTTTCTTTAATAATTAAAATAAAATATGATGTGATATTTTTACATTCGTAACATTTGGACATAAATTATACTTCTCTCTCCTTCCCTGCACTCAACTACTAAAGGTTTGGTTCTGATCTAATAAATGCTATACTTGGTGCACGGAATATATTCGATGAATGCAAATTAAACCTTTTCGGCAGTGGAAGGAAAAGGGACTTCAGGAATTCAGCTACCTCTGTTTCAAAGGAAAATAAATTGCTGTTGACGGTGTCCATAACATTTAACTTTTAGGAAGTTATAAAATTTAGTAGGCACAAAATGACAGAGACACGAAAGTAGCCGAATGTTAACAGTTGATTTAAACCATCAAATCATTTAGATGATTTAAATCATCAACCTAAATTATTTGGAAAATTCATCTAGAATTTCTTTTTTCTCTGTTGCATTTTCAGAATTCGCTAGAGGTCCACATATACACATCTGTAAAGTGGGCATAATAATAGTATTTGTCTTTTGGGCTGTGGAGTTTGTTACATGGCAGAATGCACATGAACCACTTAGCAGTGTGTGGTACCTAGTATGTAGCAAGTAAATATTAGTTTTTTAAAAAAGGTTCAACTGGAGGATTTAGATCATTATTGCATATTTAATGGTTAAAATAGCTTATGCATTTACTGTTCAATGAATGGTTTTGAATGACACAGTGCAAGTAAATTGTATTAGTCTCTTGATAGGAAGACATGCATGTATTAGCCTGAGCTCCTTAAGGGCAGAAAATGTTCCATTTTCATATCCTTAGCACCTAGTAGAGGGCTTGGTACATTTGTAGACATCATATAGCATAAATGACTACAAGCAGGCAGCATATAATACCAAAATCTACCTGGCTTCATCTGGGTATGTAAATACCAAGCTTATTTCTGAGGCTTAAGTGATTTATTTCTGAATCATTTCTTCTGTCTTTTTACAGTGGAGGCGGTGATGACCTCAGTGGGCCAAGGGACCCTCTCCAGGTCCTGGAAGGTATTGTCACAGCAGTCCATGCCAGTGTGGACAAGGGGTAAGACTAGAACAGTTTGTGCATCTTCATTTAATGGCTTTCCTCAGAGACTTAGAATTGTCTTGAGTATCCATATTTATGAGACTTCCAAGACTAAGCAACATTTTTAGGTGTTTCTAGAGGAAAAGCTAAGGACGTGCGTAGGAAAGGAGAGGCCCTGCCTCTGGAGACATGGTGTCCCCAGCTCTGTGCCAAGCCCTGCTTGCATGGAGAGCGTCGTCTCTTCTTGCCTCCTTCACAGGGAGGCCAGAGAGAGGAAACTGCTTTAAGCTTCCTAGAAGAGAAGGGATTCTCATCTCTAACACATTAACTGTATCAATGAAGTGTGCAAATTCTTAGAATGTATATATTATCTTTAAAAAAAACTTTTAAATAAGTTAAGTTTCCATGTTTGAGGACACAAGGTACACAGGCTTTACAAGTCTGTAAGGGTATGTATCGCTAATGCTCTTTTTAGAAAGAATTTTTCGTTCAGG